AAAAAAAAAAAAAAAAAAAAAAATTAGCTGGGCGTTGTGACAGGTGCCTGTAATCCCAGCTACTCGGGAGGCTAAGGCAGGAGAATCTCTGAAACCTGGGAGGTGGAGGTTGCAGTGAGCCGAGATCATGCCACTGCACTCCAGCCTGGGGAATGAGAGGGAGACTCTGTTTCAAAGAAAAAAAAGAGTTGTTAAACATCAAAAAGAAAAGAAAGCAACATGCAGACTGACTCTATAGAGGCTGGCTCTTTTCTCCTCTTGGTCTCTGCTCTCTACACTCACTAGTTGGCCATCACTGAAACTTAATAAATGGCCAGGTGTGGTGGCTCACACCTGTAATCCCAGAACTTTGGGAGGCCAGGAGTTCGAGGTCAGCAACACCCCAAGACTCTTAAAAACAAACAAACAAACAAACAAACAAATGTATACAGAAGTCTTGGTTCTAGATAACTGAGAGAAATGGAAGTGGCTTAGTGAGTTGCTGATCACATTACTTCTAATAATAGAATTCTTTATTAAAACAACTATGGAAGAAAACAGTGCTTTCTTTCTATTCTTTTAAAAATCTGGAGCACTTTGCAAAATGGAAATTAATGCCTTGACTTGCATTGCTATGTGATCTGGGATTTTCACTTCTGCAGGGAAAGCCCCACTTGGCTTATTGGCTGCCTGCCTTGCCCTATGTCTTTTTTTTTTTTTTTTTTGGTTTGTTTCAATTTGTATAAATGTGTGGAGTACAGATGTAATTTTATTAGATGCATACATCGCATAGTGCTGACGTCAGGGCTTTTAGGGTAATCATAATCCCAATAACGTACATTGTATCTGTTAAGTAATCTCCCATTATCTTTGCCCTGTCTTCTAAGCAGCTGGCTTGTTATTTTGGATTGAGCCACTTGGGGCTAGAGAAGAGAAGGCAGGGAGTGAGGGAAACGTGCTTGGGAATTCCAGGAGATTGTTATCCTGCCCTGGCTGCTCTCTCAGGGGATTCTCCTCAAGTACCCTGGAATGTTCCCGTGGCCCCTATGGATTGCCACCACAAAGATCATGAGGTTCTGTTGCCCTGGCAACCAGTTGTCCAGCGCCTCTGCACTGGAGCTGCCAAGGTGCCAGGAAGAGGCAGGATTGCCCGGTCTTGGAGGAAGACTTCTGGGTAGAAGCGGCACACAGGAGCAGAGACACAGTCTTGGCTCCAATTTCATCTCAGTGATGCCCACCCTTTCCGTGTTCATGGATGTGCCCTTCGTCCACAAGCTAGAGGGCAACTTGTTAAAGGCCTACAAACAAGATGATTGCCCCAACAAGATGTTCCTAGCCTATAAAGGTAGATGCCTAGCAGTTCTGGAGTATAAGACTTAAGGGATGGGAACTGCCTCTAGGAGGACAGTGGTCCCTGCTGCAGTGGGAGGGGTGTGGCCCAAGCTTCCGTGGGAGGAACGGTCTTTCCTTGTTAACAGAATTGCCCAGTGGGGAAAAGCGAAGAGAAGGTCCCACGTCGTTCCATGCTCTCTGCCCTTCTCTGGGAGTTTCTAGCGGTTTGGTGAGAGCTATGTCCTCTTCCACAACTCTATGCTTGGGGGCCTGCATGGCCGTCCCACACTTCTTCAGCCTCTTCTCTCTCTCTCTTTCTATTCTTGAACCAAGAATGGTTCCCCAAATTGAGCCTTATGATACGCAACTGGGTCTCCCCACTGTGAAAGTCAGGGTTACCTTTATTTAGCTTTCATCTATCTATAACTCATTTTGCATTGATTTTTTTTTTTTTTTTTTTTTTTTTATTTTTTCTTTTTTTTTTTTTTTTTTTTTTTTTGGAGATGGGGCCTCACTCTGTTGCCAAGCTAGAGCACGGTGGCAAGATCTCAGCTCACTGCCACCTTTGCCTCCTGACCTCAAACCATCCTCCTGCCTCAGCCTCTTGCCCAGCTGGGATGACAGGCACTGGCCACCAGGTCTGGCTGTTGTGTGTTTTTTTTTGTAAAGGCAGGGTTTTATCATGTTGGCAAGGCTAGTCTCGAACTCCTGAACTCAAGTGATCCGCCCGCCTTGGCCTCCCAAAGTGCTGGGATTACGGGCCTGAGCCACCCATCCTGGGCTTGTATAATTTTTAACCTTTAAAATGGCATAGGTTTCAGTTGTCATTTTAAAAAAGACAAAAATAATACACATTTACTAACAGCACATTGTTTTTATCAAGGAGAAAAGAAAAGGGAAAGTTTTCTTTTCACAAAGACCTTCCCAATGCCCCAGGGAGTCCAGGGCAGACTTGTTTGCGGGCTGTCTGCAGAGCTCAGCCCCCGGGTCCCAAACCAAGCACCTGATGCTCCCTCTGTGGTCTTCCTCACAGTCTGCATGACAAATGAAGGCCATCCCTGGGTTTCTTTCGTGGTGCAGAAGGCCCGACTCCAGATTTCACAGGATCCCTCCCTGAATTATGAGTACTTGCCCACAGTGGGCATGAAGTCATTCATCCAGGCCTCTCTGGAACTCCTCTTTGGAAAACACAGCCAAGCCATCATGCAGAACAGGGTGAGAAGCGGGCCCTCCCGGACTCATCCTGACACAGAGAGTGGGGAACTGGGCCTGCACAACCTCAAACCCAAAAGGGACCTTGGAGGACCCCCAGTATGGATAAGGGGGACACCTGAGGCACAGAGAGTCCACAGCTTTAGCTGTCAAAGGGTAGAGTAAGGATCAGAATCCCAATCCAGTTGTATTCCCACCTGCTCATACTGCTGATTTGAAAGCTCTTTCAAGACAGAAATGATCTGAATAGGAGGCGATGTCAGTATTCCCATTACTGTCTTATTTTTTAATTTATTATATACATTTTTTGAGACTAAGTCTCACTCCATCATCCAGGCTAGAATGCAGTAGTATGATCTTGGCTCACTGCAACCTCCACCCCCCAGGTTCAAGTGATTCTCATGCTGCAGCCCCCTGAGTAGCTGGAGTCACAGGCATGTGCCACCACGCCTGGCTAATTTTTGTGTTTTTGTTAGAGACAGGGTTTCACCATGTTGGCCAGGCTGCTCTCAAACTCCTGGCCTCAGAGGATCTGCCTGCCTCAGCCTCCCAAAGTGCTGGGATTACAGGCATGAGCCACCACGCCCAGCCTCTCTTACTGTTTTAGAGAGTTATTTCTGTTTATTTCTATTTATTTATTTATTTTGAGACAGAGTCTCACTCTGTGGCCCAGGCTGGAGTGTCGTGGCCTGATCTCGGCTCACTGCAGCCTCCACCTCCTGGGTTCAAGTGATTCTCTTGCCTCAGCCTCTTGAGTAGCTGGGATTACAGGCGCCTGTCACCACATCCAGCTAATTTTTTTTATTTTTAGTAATGAGAGGGACCAGACTGATCTCGAACTCCTGACCTCAGGTGATCCACCCTCTTCGGCCTCCCAAAGTGCTGGGACTACAGGTGTGAGCCACCGCGCCCCCTGCGCCCGGCCTATTTCTGTCTATTTCTTGCTGGCAGGTAGGGGGTGTACACACCGTTGGTGACAGTGGTGCCTTCCAGCTTGGGGTCCAGTTTCTCAGAGCTTGGCATAAGGATGCTCGAATAGTTTACATCATCTCTTCTCAAAAAGGTGAGTCTTACCTAAGATGAGGGTGACAGCAAATCCCCATTCCCTGTTCTGAATCCTCACCCAATTGCTGTCTGCACCGTTATCCCCCATTCTCTGTCACGAGCAAAATGGTGGACAAGCCAAGCTATTTATGTCCTTTTCCTGTTAATGTCCCACCTTCAGCCAGTGACTCTCAGCCCCACACTCCAGTACCTCTGTTTCCGTCTGTTTCCCATGTACCAGCTGTGTTCCCACAGAGCTGGTACCTGGGAAACTGTGTTCCCACAGAACTGCATGGACTCGTCTTCCAGGACATGGGCTTTACAGTTTATGAATACTCCATCTGGGACCCCAAGAAGCTATGCATGGACCCCGACATACTCCTCAATGTGGTGGAGGTAGAGAAACTCCTCCCCAGATCTGACTTACAGCCTAAGGTTCCTCTCCTCCCCATGCCCCTTAAATCATCCAAGCCCTTTTCCAGGTTTGAATTTGCCTGGTCCTTCAATGGTAACTAACATGGAAGAGCACTTTATCCCCAAATGCCCTGGGGCTGCCACTCCTGGGTAGGGGAAGTACCTGATGAGACCGTCTCTACCTGCAGCAGATCCCACGTGGCTGCGTCCTTGTGATCGGGAACATTATCGACTGCAAGTTGACACCAAGTGAGTGGGCGAAGTTGATGTCCATGATAAAGGTAAACCCAATCTCCCGCCTGACCTTCCTGTTTTTTAATCTCTGCTCTCTCCTCCATCCGACTCATTCTTTCTTTGTTCTCCTTTCCCCTACAGAGCAAGCAGATATTCCCATTTGTTGATATTCCCTGTCAAGGTTTATACACCAGTGACTTGGAAGAAGATACAAGAATCTTACAATACTTTGTGTCTCAAGGCGTTGAGTTCTTCTGCAGCCAGTCTCTGTCCAAGAATTTTGGCATTTATGGTATGGTACAGGCAGAAGGAGAGGGGAGGGTCTGTTGTGAAATGGCGCTGTGTTCACAGCACAGTGATGTTTTCCATATCTCATCCTCTGGAGGGAGCCACAGACTCCAGGGAGAGCACGTACGGAGGCAGAAGTGGGGAGCACTGAGCTAGAATTTGGTTGTTACTACATCTGGTCACTCGTCCCAGCTCAGCTTAGATAATTTCACCCTCAGGACTTTGTTTCCTCAACTATGAGATGAGAGGGTGGGGCTGGCATGGTGGTTGACACCTGTAATCCCAGTCCATGCCTCCTGGTCCCTCCTTTGGGAGGTCGAGATTGGGAGATCACTTGAGGCTGGGAATTTAAGACCAGCCTGGGCAACACAGTGAGACCCTGTCTCTACAAACAATTAAAAAAATTAGCCGGAGGCCGGGCGCGGTGGCTCAAGCCTGTAATCCCAGCACTTTGGGAGGCCGAGGCGGGTGGATCACGAGGTCAAGAGATCGAGACCATCCTGGTCAACATGGTGAAACCCCGTCTCTACTAAAAATACAAAAAAAAAAAAAAAAAAATTAGCCGGGCATGGTGGTACACACCGGTAGTCCTAGCTACCCGGGAGGCTGAGGCAAGAGGTTCACTTAAGCCCAGGAGGTTGAGGTTGCAGTGAGCTCTGATTCCACCATTGCACTCTAGCCTGGGCAACGGAGAGAGACGGTCACTTAGAAAACAACAACAACAACAAAAATAAAAATAAAGAAAATAGAACTTAGCGATCTTGCAAGTTCTGTCCTCCTTTAAGACTCTGACTTACGGATACTTTTGCTGGAAGGAGAGCCTCTGGTAACTTCCAGGAGCCTGAATACTGTCCTGGCTGGGCTGCAATAAGGGTCTCATGGTTCAACCTTTTCTTCTACGAGGTTAGAGGTTGAGGTCTAGGTGAAGGCCTTAGGAGTGGAGGAAGGGGCTGAGGCTGTCTTCTCAACACTGCAGATGAAGGAGTGGGGATCCTAGTGGTGGTGGCCATCAACAACCAGCAGCTGCTGTGCGTCCTCTCCCAGCTGATGAGATTAGCCCAGGCCCTGTGGCTAAACCCTCCCAACACGGGTGCACGGATCATCACCTCCGTCCTCTGCAACCCGGCTCTGCTGGGAGACTGGTAAGGGTGAGGGCTGGAGCAGGAAGGGATGAGAGAGGCCCTGGGTGCCTGCAGACGTGCTGATCCCTGGATTCAGCAGGGTGCTTCTCTCTTGCCCATGTGGCCTCTTTGCTCCATCCATTAATCAGCATTGACTGAGGACCTGATGTGTACCAATGGCAGTGGCTATGCCAAGGGTTGCCTTAGGGGACAGAGTGATAGGACATTTATTTTGTACCTAGGCCAATGAGTTATCTGAACTCTTCTAGATTGCTCGGGGACATTAGACAGCATCAGGGGCTTGCAACTCTGGCAAAACCTGCCAGGGAGCCTCCTTGGCTTGCTTGAGTTAATATGGGATCAAACCTCCCTCCCACTCTTAGCCATCCCAGAGCCTCAGGCACTCTGCTGGGGGCCTTTGAAGGTAAGAAGAGTGGACTGGCAAGAAGGGAGGTTTGAGAGCAAAGGGGACCTCACACCCTTCTTTCTCATTGTCCTTTCTTGGTAGGAAGCAGAGTCTAAAAGACGTTGTAGAGAAAGCCATGCTAACTAAGGAAAAAGTGAAGGAGAAGCTCCGGCTCTTGGGAACCCCTGGCTCCTGGGGTCACATCACTGAGCAGAGTGGGACCCATGGCTATCTTGGACTCAACTGTAAGGGTCTAGGGAGTGGGTGTCCCCCCTTTCTGAACTTTGGCCTGTATTTGAGCATTAAACTTCCCTGTCTAGGTGACCAGTTCCTAGCTTCACTCCAGATTTTGATTCTGTCCTCTGGAAAATGGGCTGCTTTAAAGACGCTTCTGGACCCTCAGAAGTACTGACACTCCCTGTCCTTCATAAACCAGCCTGGGTGCTGGGCGAGGTGGCTCACACCTGTAATCCCAGCACTTTGGGAGGCTGAGGCAGGTGGATCACCTGAGGTCAGGAGTTCAAGACCAGCCTGACCAACATGGTGGAACCCCATCTCTACTAAAAAAAAACAAAAAAAAAAAACAAAAATTAGGAGAGCGTGCTGGCACATCCTGTAATCCCAGCTACTTGGGAGGCTGAGGCAGGAGAATCACTTGAACCTGGGAGGTGGAGGTTGCAGTGAGCCAAGATCACACCATTGCACTCCAGCCTGGGCAACAAGATGCAGTTTTGAAACTGCATCTCAAAAATAATAAATAAATAAATAAATAAATAAATAAATAAATAAATAAAATAAACCAGCCTGGGCTAGAGGGGAATTTGAGATGGCCAGTGTCAGGATCTGAGACCTTGCCATGACTGCAGTCCAGCAGGTGGAATACCTGGTCAGGAAGAAGCACATTTACATCCCCAGGAACGGTCAGATTAACTTCAGCTGTGTCAATGCCAACAACATACATTACATCACTGAGAGCATCAATGAGGCCGTCCTCTTCACAGAAAGCTCAGAGAAGTGCCTTCCAAAGGAAACAAACCCCTGATTGGAATAAAACTTTAGTCTTTGCAAAAATCTTGTGCTGATTATTTATTGCTACATTTCATTTTTTTACAAAACACTTTGTTCGTTATTTATGAAGCAATGGTGTGGCCTCAGGGGTGGGGGGAGAGAGAGACACACACACACACACAGAGAGAGAGAGAGAGAGAGGGAGAGAGAAAGGCCCAGAGGGAAGGGTCATTGGCCATCTCATATTAATTGAGCACCTACTGCTTTAAGGCCCTGAGCTGGCTATGAAAGGGGAGTGCAAAAAGCAGGTACGATCCAGTCTGTTTTCTCAGACACTTAGAGTCTAGTTGGGGGACAAGCCTTACTCACATAAAACACTTAAGCAACATTTTAAGGCTGAATGTAATAGAAGTCACAGCAGATTGTATAAACTGAAAATGTGTCAGGAATTTAGAAAAGAAAGACTTCAATGTGGGCCAGAATAGATGGGGAGCATCTCATGAGGAGGTAGGACTTGGCTGGGATATTGATAGACAGATGAATGGATTGGATGCATAACAACTAATGGAAGCTGGAAGGATATCCTAGGTCAATAACAACCTGAGCAAGCGTCACTGACATGATAGTAAAAAATGGGCATCTACTAATCCATGGGACTCTGCAACCCCCCAGGATACCAACAGGTATATGACACAGTTGATACCTTCTACTCTTGGGAAGACACTATTTATACAGTTGAAAGGAAAACTTATTTTTCTCTCTCCTCCACTGTGATTCTCAATTCTGACACCAGATTGTGTAGGGTTTTCCCCATACAATTAATTCAATTCTCTGGTGGACAACAGTTGGGTGTCTTACAATTCAATACATAGAACTGATTCTGTTTTTTTTTTTTTTTTTTTTTGAGATGGAGTCTTGCTCTGTTGCCCAGGTTGGAGTGCAGTGGCACAATCTTGGCTCACTGCAAACATGGCCTACCAGGTTCAAGTGATTCTCCTGCTTCAGCCTCCCAAGTAGCTGGGACTACAAGCACGTGTCACCATGCCCGGTTAATTTTTGGATTTTTAGTAGAGACGGGGTTTTGCCATGTTGGCCAGGTTGGTCCCGAACTTCTGATCTCAAGTAATCCACCCGCCTTGTCCTCCCAAAATCCTGGGATTGCAGGTGTCAGCCACTGTGCCCAGCCCAATTCAGTAGATTCTGATACTATCTACCTGGAGTTAGCATCAAATTCCAGAGGTTCAGGAATTTCTGCAAGACTGCACCCCACTTCAGATGCCAGTCACATGTCCAGTGGTGACCTGGGCATCTGCTGTAAATTGGGGGTTTCTACAACTCCCCCCTTGGGTTTGATAATTTTCTAGAACAATTCACATATCTCAGGAAAATAGTTTACTTACTAGATTATCAGTTTGTTATAAAAGGATACAAGTCAAGAACAGCCAGAGGCTGGGCGCGGTGGCTCAAGCCTGTAATCCCAGCAATGTGGGAGGCCGAGGCGGGTGGATCACGAGGTCAAGAGATCGAGACCATCCTGGTCAACATGGTGAAACCCCGTCTCTACTAAAAATACAAAAAATTAGCTGGGCATGGTGGCGC